ATCGTCAAACATGTTCATCGTGTCAGTGTTTTCCGTGCATGTCTAATTCGTGTGTTGACAATTTTTTTTTTCCATTTTAGTTAAAAGAATTCGTGTGTTGAACCGTCCGCACCCCCCACATAATACCAGCCCTCTTCCCCCTCCCTCTAGAATATACTGACACTATAAATGTAGGCTTACCAACCCCCCCCCCCCCCCCCCCGACGAAAAAGCTGTAGGATCTTCTGACTACCCCACCCCATCTACGAACTGTCATAGGGTCAGCTATACCCGTTGGGTCCCCCCCCCCCCCCCCGACCCGCACCAACGATACATCCGTTGGATCACTACCCCCCCCCCCCCCCCTCCTCCATACTAAAAGGCTTAGGGTCACTCCTCTTCTACAGACGATGAAACCGTAGGGTCACCTGTCCCCTCCCCACTCACTCCTAGCCGAGGGGTCACTTCTCCTCCCCCCCCCCCCCCCCCCGGACGATAAAGCCGTAGAGTCAACTGTCCCCCCCCCCCCCCGGACGATAAAGCCGTAGAGTCACCTGTCCCTACCGTTCCCAGGCTCACACTGGTGTCACCCGTTACTTTACGACCTAGTTTCTCCCTAATTGAGTGGACAGGACCCACACCCGCTTCACACCCTTGAGGACTCGCTTCTGCCGAGTCGTCAAATGGCGTCACTCATCCCGTGACGCAGACCATCAGGTGGGTTTAGTACCCCCCCCCCCCTTCCCCACCCACCTGACTACTATCTAACCCTACCCAGCAGCGATAGCGAGAACACGCTGAAAGCAGACGACTCCCACCCCCCCGCATTCAACCCCCTCACCACTGCGGCAATCAAACCTCTTGTCCGCCCCGACTTCAATACAAACTGACACCCACACTCAAATCGTCTTAAACCCATCTTGCTTTTCAGAACCGATCTGACTCTTTCAACACCTCCCCGGGTATAATGACAGCCGCCACCAGCCTCGCGCATTGATCCCACGGGCTCACAAATTTATTCCCCTCCCGGGGAGTCGGATGCAACAATAGGGGGCCACTTGTCTGCCGTCTGGACTCCGCTCTCCATTAGCATCAACGGCCATTCAGCGGCCTGGGATGTTTTCTTGCCCGTATCCCCGGGCCTGAACTAAGTCCAAACAAACCTCTAGGCCCGGGCGATAAATCACTGACCAGGGGTCAGTTACTGCCGACCAAGGGTCAGTTACAACGGCGTGACGCCGAACTGTTATCAAAATATCAGAAAGCTCGGAGCAGAGTTCAAAAGCCACACACGTGAGAAGTTAGGTGGACAGACACCATAAAAGTTTGAAAAGGGGAGATAACTTTTGAAATAATAGGGAGATAAGACAGACTTGGAAAAATTCGGCTTGCCATTCCTCGGAAATTAAAATTATCTACATGTACGTTGTGTTGATCAAATAAAAATGTATCCGCTTTTTAAAATTATATTTAAAATATTTATTTAACCCAAGTGGAATAAAATTTCATAAATAAATACTTCTTTTTCACAATACGTTTATTTTGCTACGACGGCATATAAAATAATCAACTCAGTGGTTGTATCAATAGTAAGAAGTATAGGTGCTTAGGAACTATTTTGTATTTGCGAGTGTTGATAAATTTCTCATACATATATGAGAAAAGAAAAAAAAAATATAAATGGACATATAGAATCAGGTAGCGGCCCGCTACTTAGAAGTCTAAGTTCCTCAATGCCACTCATAAAAAAAACCTTTCTAACCCAGGGGTCGGCAACCTTTTGAAGCGGAAGAGCCAAAAGTTACAATTTTCAAAATTTCCTTGGTTTTAAAGAGCCACTAACATTTTTTTTATTTCAAATATTTTATTTTTTTTATTAAGATTATTAGTATTTGTGCAAGGAGCTGGAGAGCCGCATCTTCATATCAAAAGAGCCGCATGCGGCTCGCGAGCCGCAGGTTGCCGACCCCTGTTCTAACCCGATCAGCAGATGGGGATATTTTAAGCCTTGGCGGCATGCCCCTAGCAGAACCCCATTAAAAGACAATTATTGAGCTATTAATAAGTCGTTAGACTTAGACCTGCTTACGGGGTAGCACGGGTTAACCCTCAAAATGGCGGAACACGGGTTAACCCTTAAAACGCTGAGGTCCGTGTCAGTTCTCCTACAGCGTTGATATATTTTTCATCGGCGTCAGGTTTGTCTAGAATGTCGTGGATGCACCTATTAAATGATGACCGCCACACACATGTTCCTATTATAAGACGAGCGTCACACTTCATGTCATTCATAATATTTTCGAGGTTTATAAAACGTCCAAGTTCATCCATGTTTGTATGGCACCTTCATATGCCACCCTGGACCCCCCCCCCCTCCCCATTCGCCTTATTCCACAAATATAAAACCTGATACCACTGATCCAAAATTGATTCCACGAGTTTTCTTTGTATCGTTCAAGCGTTTCTAGAAGTCCAGTAGCCGACGCCCTCAAGTGGGCGGTGATCTGTCACAAGGCATGTCATAAGACGTGTCACATGACATGTCATAAGACGTGTCACATGACATGTCATAAGACGTGTCACATGACATGCCACAAAATATTTGTCGTCAAAAACTAAATCTCTCGCAGCCACAACGTATTCAAAAAGCCGGGTGCCATTTGGGGATTGTAATGATGTCTGAAGTGTGCTCCTTCATATACTTTATGTGGCCATGGCATGCAAAGGCGTACGGTTTCTCTGTCAACGTGGCATGCAAAGGCTCATGGGAAGGAACGGTGTAGCAAACTGTCCTAACTGCCCCATTCCCAAATTGCCCAAGTCAGATCGTAACATCAAGGACTGAATGGGTCCTGTATTTACTGCCCCATTCCCAAATTGACAGTTTAAGATGATATCACCTTGAGAGTATTTCACATATAACAAACGTTGGCTTCTAAAAAACATTTAGTTTAAGGCTATCGCAATTTACATTTAAAAAAAAACAAATACTTTGTTCTACTTATGTTCGCGGTGTTAAAAACATGGTTTCATTAGTTTTCAAAGAGTTAAAAACATAATTGCATTAGCCTTCAAAGCGTAAAACGGGTTAAAAATAGTTTAATTAGCGCTCAAATGGTTAAAAACATAGTTTCATTGGCGTTTAGGGGTTAACCCAGGTTTAGCCGGGTCGGAAGGTCGGATGGGGCGTTGTTTGTTTACAAAAATAAGATTTGACATGCCCCACACGGTAAAAACGTAAACACGAGCCTGGCTTTAAAGGCTTCATCAGCTGGGCTAGGTTTACATAATAATGACCTTCGAAGGTGACGGTTGCCTCATATTTGGCTTACTCAAGGTCACTTGCGTAACAGGTGGACATGAGGACAGGTACACCAAATGGAAGTTTTCAAATAACCCACCCCAGCGCAGAAGCATACCTGATACTTTTTATGGGGGGGGGGGGGGAGATAATCAAAACAGACCAGAAGTATTTAGGGGTTAGGAGATAGCTGAGAATATTTTATCCGCTGAAGTTCTCGGCCTTGGCGAAATTCCATGTTAATAATTCTGTTAACGGAGTCGACAAGGATTTGATGATATAGAACATTGTTTTTTGTATCGGATGTAGTATAACAATATACCCACAAGGTAGTCGACAAGGCGTAACATATACGTTTTGTTATTAATGATACCCTGAATCTTAACCCAACATTGGCCTTAAATAAACCTGCGTTAGTTCTATACATAACCTAAACCTAATTCTAGTCCTTAATCTTAACGCTAATCCTCAACATAACCCTACCTGTAGCAACAACCCTGGCCCTTATTTTTATGTAACCCTAACTCTAACTTCATCATGATGAAAATTACTTAATTCCATTCTTTACTGTCATGCTTGTAACTCGCGTTTCTCAAAGAATAAAAATAAAATCCCACAAAAACAATTCACAACAAAAAGCCACAAGGATTCTCAAACTGCCCAGACTTACCCTTCTCCCAGCCTCGTTGTTGTGGAGGTTCATCACCGACCTGGGCTTATTCCTCCTCTTCTTCCCCTTCTCCCTCGCGTCCACGAACACCTTGGAAAAAGCGATGCCGTACGCGATATTGTCCGAACAGCCGGACCACTCGAAGTTCTCGTCGCTCCGGCCACGGAGCGTCCGGTCACAGCCACACTTCTGGAGCTGACCGCTGCTGCATGCTCTGGTCACGGCGTGGGCCACACCCGCAGAGGATATGGAGTGGACGAAGGCAGCTTCCCTTGTACCTGAAGCAAAAGGAATCATTTGGTTAAAGCACGTCCAAGTCTCAAACTTTACATGGCTCTGTGGTGTTTTCTTTTTCAAGAATTGATAGCACTCCCGAGAAAATAAATATATCATACTCAATGATATTAATTTCGTATTTTAAATAAAATCTGAAGATCTTTATATATACACCTATATATGCGTATAATATACACCTACACAAATGATTATGTATAAAAAGTTACTCTCTTGTACCAGCCAAATGCCAATCCATGGGTAGATGAAGTAGTTTACCTGTATTTATGACCTCGGCATATGGGGGAGTAATATGGTCAGCACTATGTCCAGTCGCCTTACTTTCCCTAACGTAAGTCAGGTACCGACCAGAGCTGGGAGGACCCAGGACTTCGTATGGATCCTTGCCCAAAATCTTCGAACTAAAGACTCGCGGGTCAGTAGTCGTACGCGCTACCGTCCGATTATCCCACCCAAATATGTATAAGCTTTGAGTTACTTTACATACCCAGCCTACACATGCATCCACGGGAATACGTCTTGTTACAACAAATCAATTACCAGATACAAGAGAGTGTCTGTTTCTAACATCTCTACCTGAGGACTGTCAACTCTTATGGAGCTCATAAACACAATGCCTAAACTCTCGATATTTAGGTACACCACACTCACACTCTTATGGAGATCATAAACTCTATGACTAAACTATCGATATTGAGCTACCCCACACCCATTATGGTGCTCACACAATGACAAAACTTTCTATATTGAGCTACGCCACACCCCTTTTAAAGTTCATAAACACAATGACTAAACTCTCGATATTGAGCTATGCCACACCCCTTATGGAGCTCATAAACACAATGACTAAGCTCTCGATATTGAGCTACACCACCCCTTATGGAGCTCATAAACACAATGACTTAACTCTCGATATTGAGCTACGCCACACCTCTTATGGAGCTCATAAACACAATGACTAAACTCTCGATATTGAGCTATGCCACACCCCTTATGCAGCTCATAAACACAATGACTAAACTCTCGATATTGAGCTATGCCACACCACTTATGGAGCTCATAAACACAATGACTAAGCTCTCGATATTGAGCTACACCACCCCTTATGGAGCTCATAAACACAATGACTAAACTCTCGATGTTCACCTTTCCCGTCATATAGCCGAGAGGCGATCGATTTCAAAGGCATCCAACCGTGGAGGTAATGCGATTCGCCGCGCGCCCCGGGTCAAATTGTTCTCAATGGAGGTGTCGGGCTAATCTTTGACACCAATCTACAGTAGCTTCGGAAATAAATGTCGCTTATCCTACACATCGCATCGTAAAAACGGTTTACAATTTCAATCCTGTGCAACTTGTGAAATCAGGAAATGAACATAAACAATTTAATCTAGGGAAATCGGCAAAGCTAAGAGGGAGTCTCAGTTTTTTTCTGGCACTATGAAATAAAAAAAAAAGATTATACAGTTTAATCTATGGCAAGCCTTATATATACCAGGGAGTCTAAAAAATTTGTCTGGCATTGTAGTGAATTGTTTTTATATATGATGAACTATGGTTAGGTCAGGAAGCCTCAATTTTTTTTCTAAAACTATGAATTCAGTAGGCCTACTGTTTAATGTATAACGAACTATAGATGTCAGGGAGTCTCAAATGTTTCAAGCTCCGGTTCTCGCGTGACCCGAGACTCACGTAAAATCTAGGAAAGATAATTCCATTGTGTCATGTTTCTATATTATTCTATCTAGGGGACAGTGGTCTACCGAGTGTTTATATTTAAGATTTACATTTCGCTAAATAATACAGTATTTAAATATTTATAAACCATTTGGGGATAAACCAATGTAAAACCGAAATAATTCATCAACTCTACTTTAACTTGTCAGTCACATGACCATTTATATGAAGTTAGATTAAGGTAGTATTGACAGCTAAAAAAATAGAACTAGACAATACATCCATTCATAGCGAAAATTGAATCGCCTAAACCACTTAATTTTAAACACAACCACAGTCTTAAACCGTTTGTTGCGTAATTCTATGTGATACATACAAGTTAGCTATGTGTAGATGTTCTTGATAAGTAACCTACAGTACAATTAACTCAGCACAGTGGCTTCTAAGAGCATTTCTCAATAATCAATATGTAAGTAATATGCTTCCCTACCCCCACTTCAATACACCCAATCCCCACCTCCATGCAACCCCTATCCCAACTCCGTTACAAGCAACAATGTTAACATCCACGTACATTTTAAAACCTTTTTTTATTCAAACTAAACCTAACTCATGTGTTTAATAATAATATACCCCATCCACATTCATAAACAATAACGTAACACTAATTCTACCCAGCGTCATACAAATGATAGATTTCTCGGGAAATTTTGTTTACCAATTATTACGAATATCCAGCCTGTCCTTCCAAAGCCAAAACTAACCCAAACTTACAATAAAACCTAATCAGTAATTAGGACAATAATTTACAATTAGGACTTCCATGGGCCGTGTTTCAAAGAATTCCTATAATTAAGTTACATTATTGATCTAATTCACATCAAAGTAGTGCATAGACCATCTGGCGTTAAATATATTCCGACATAGTTCCCCGTCTAGTGTGATGAAAGGGTTTCAGCTTTGAAACGCCACCACGGGCACTAGCAATCCCCGACCCTAGGGGCGCGGGGCGTGAAATAATATGCGTCATTATACCGTCTGGTCGCAGGCGGCCCGAGACGACTGGTCAGACTCGGACTGACCATTAACCGTCGTTCATTAGCGAGGCTTTATTCTTCACAGGCCATCACCAGGCTGACCAGTATAGCGTCACGCCAATGGAAACAGATGATATAGCTGGACATTCTGGTGGTGCCAAGACGCTGACCAGCACAGCGTCACGCCAATGGCTCCAGATGATATTGCTGGACATTCTGGTACCATGATAAAAGCAGTGTTCAACATATGAAGAAACAACCTGGTTTATCTAGCACGTAAACTCTACTCCCCCTGTTTAATTAGCCCCCCCCCCTGGTCTTGTCTGAAATCTTAACAGTGAGGTACAATTGAAATTAATTTGACTCTAATTAATAGACTGCATGTGGTTTTAGGAGGTTAGGTTAGGTTTGCCTGTCGCCCCTCCTGGGACATAGGCCGCTGACAAGAGCTTTCCAGGCGTCTCTGTCCTGGGCTAGTCTCTAAAACTGTCCCCAGGTGTATGTGGTTTTAGGAGAGTATGTTGTATTTTTTTTCTAATCCCTGATATGGTCAGAAATCGGACCAGGGTTTCGGTCAAGGAACAGGTTTAGCATTACTCTTATTATGATTAGCCTGAGTTTTAGTTAGCGATGTCAGCAAAAATAGCTTACATAAGAGATTCACTTAAAGTAACTTAAAAACAAATTGGTGACATAAGGTTAGGTGTCGTCACCCGATGTAATTCACACCCCCCCCCTACACCCACACCGCTTTGACACAACTGCAATAAAACTAATTTACATTTAGTGTAGAACCAGATTTGTTCTTCAACTCTATTCCTACCTCCGAGTTTTTACAGTAAGGATTAACTATAAAGCAATTGCTAATTAATTAAGAAATTTTATAACTAACTGTAAAAACACTTAAAAGGTCACTTTACGATGTGCATTTTAAGATTCTGCACGCTGTTAGTTGTACACACAATTTTGCCTAGCATGAATACAAAGGTTCAATTGAGATAAGCCAGCTTAAGGAAAAAAGGGCCTCCAATGATGAAATCAGGCGTGGAGTTACACCCCCTTTAATACAGATCTCTTTTGAGACTTTCTTCATTGAAATAAATTTACGGTCTATTTAAACGGAAAAATTAAAATTTAAAATCAAGCTTAATTTAATTTAACAAAAGAAAATAAGTAACATCTTTTTTTTTTAATTGGGTAAGTTACGCCTGAATGAAATAAAAATTGACGATTTTTTTTTAATTAGCAGTTGTGTATGCTGCATATTTTCTGTTTTCCCCTGTGCTGTAATCCTATAGAATTTTCCTCACCGCCCCGCTTTCTGTGAGATACGCCTTGGTTTCAATCTGTTTAGCTAAATGAACATTTTTCAAACACTAAAAAAAATAATTAAAAAATAAATAAATACAAAATAAATACTTTCTTTCACGAGCAAGGATTCGACGTTTTTAAAAAGGGCTTGATTGAACGAAACAATTGGCCCGGAAATTCCAGAAAACAGCCTTTGTTACCTGCGATTACGGTGTGCATATTTCTCTGACAGCTGCGTTGTTTTTAGATTATTTTTAGAACATTTTTTCCCCAGCGAGGGCTATCTATTTATTTAAAACATTAATTAGGTAATTAAAACGGTTAAAAAACGAAAACTTGAGAGTGAAACGTAACCATATCTCATTTTTCATTGTCTGAAAAACAGTGTTCCCTCTAAGCTGCGCGGCAGCGCGGCCGCGCAGTACTTTCAAATGTGCCGCGCAGACATTTTCTGACCCCGCGCACAGATTATCAGAACGTCGGGCAAGCCTGATTCACTAAAAAATGGTGGTCAGTGGCTTGAATTAAGCGACATTTTTAGTGCCTGTTTTGTTAAACAGTCTTTGTGTTTTGGGTATAAACAGAAACTACGGTTATCACTGACGGGGGGGGGGGGGGGGGAAGGGGGTGAACTCGGTTGTCATAGCACAGGTCTAGTTTATGACTTAACTCTGACCTGAGCGGTGCTGTGTGACACTCCCATTGCTTGATTTAATGGTTTACCCGAAAACTGACCGTAGCTGACATCTAATACCTGCATTGTATTGTGAATTGAAGCTGACCCTGCAAGTTTTTTTAATCGTCGCTTGCCTCCCCCCCCCCTCCCCCTCATCTTGAAACTTTGACGATTAAGCCAAGTCAGATGCAAGTTTTACGTTACTTAAGGTGGATGTTTTCGCTGTGTTTGGTTTAAAGATTTATATATTATATATCCGATTCTTGGGATTATTACGTGCATG